AGTTGGGCTTTGGACGGCAAGGAAGGCTGGCTGAACATCCCCAGGGGTCCTGGGGAGCAGCCACAAAGCCACAGCGCTGCAAAACAACCCGGACAAGAGGCACAAAGCCTGAAGAAGTTGTTGTGCCGCGTTCAGCTTTTATTAGGTGAAGCACCCGCAGGGGAACGCTGGAGACAAAGCGTTCCTGGGACAGGATCCTGGATCCAGTTCGTGGAGCTGCTGGTTTAAGGCCGATTTTGGTTTAACAAACTGACAGGGAGGGGGTTGAGGGTCTGGCTGCTCGTGAGGTTTGTGAGGAGAGAAGGGAACGCTGAGCAGTGGCAGGAAACACCGCTCACCACAAAACACCATCTGTGCAGCTTGAACCTCCTCACAGCCTTACAGCAATTGCTGGGAGCAGAAGCAGAATTAATGTTCCTACAGTGAAGGGCCTGGAATTTCAGTCCGTGCAGCTGCTCTTGTGCACAGAACCAGTCCTGGGCCTGTTCAGGGGCAGCACGGGTGCCCAACCTAGGAAAAACGTGACATCTTGGGGTTAAAATGAGACTTTTCCTGTTTTCACACTTGTATTTAGAGATTTCATTGTAACTCGGGGAGGGAGGAGCGAATTTCTGGGAAATCTGTTGCTTCAAAGGATGAATTCTCTCAAACTGGCCTTAAAAAAAAAATATTTAAAAAGGTAAAGCTTAAAGGTGCCATTTTGTAGACAAAGCTGCTTATTTTCAGAGTGCTGCCAACACAGAAAGTTCATTGTTAATGTCTAATAGATTCAGCATAGAAAGTAGATTTACCTGTAAGTAAAAATGGCATTGCAGGTGTGAAAGCAAGCCAAAAAATCCCCAAAGGCCCAGTCCAGAGACCTTTTCTTATGCTAGTGCTGCTAAGTGAGGTTTTTAGACAGTAAACTCTCTAAAATGATAGGTAATCCTTACAAACAAAAACAATCAGAGGCAAGGCTGGAAGTCTAGGTCATCTCTTTAGAGTACTGAAAAGGAAACAGGCCCTCACAGAATGTTTAACAGAAGATTGAAGGACATTTTCTACTTGACTGACTATGGTGGAACAACTCAAGTTTGCAGCTATAACTGATATTTTATGCTGAGGAATATAAATCCATACCTTCTGTGGAAGACATGAGAATTTCTGTTCAGTGATCGGGGTGAGAGTGGTTTGGTAACTGTAGCTTTCATATGTATTATAGTAGCTAAGTGAAAGAAAAAAAAAAAGAAAACAAGGAACTGTATTGGTTTGTAAACAAACACTCAGGTTGGTTTTCCTCTCTAAGGAAGAGAGTCTTGAAAGAAAACCACATAATCACACCATCGACTCCAGGTTTGCTGTGCCTTGTACAGTTTGTAAGCATGAGCTGAAGATAGAAAGTTACAAGATCCAGGCACAGCCAGCAAGTATTTGAAGTGTGTAAAGTATATAAAACTTGAGACTTGGCAACAAAGGACATGAAGGGAAATGCAGAAGACCTCCTTACCCTTCCTTCTGCTTAGAAATAATAATCCAGACAATGCCTGCCCCCAGGAGAAGCAGGACTCCTGCAGCTGCCACCCCTGAGAGGGAAGAGCTTGTGTTATTTTCACTGTGTATTTTAAAGCGAATCAGCACAAAGGACATAACAAGGCAAGTCTTCACAGCAAGCAGAGGGAAATGGTGCTTCTGGGGCCACTGCTTAAAGCTGAAGATTTAGCCACAAAAAAATAAATCATATTTCTAAGCTGCTTACCCAGGCCTACTGAACCAGACTTGGGTGATGCTGAAGGGAAGAGGAAAAAGAAAAATCAGCACATTGCTCTCACAAAATATGATGTGTCCCAGCTGTAGTGATGAATCACTTTATCAATGAAGCTTTTACTGCTTGGACGTACGGGACAGGATTTCTTAAAAACCACACCATTTTAAATATGTATGTTTTGGGGTGTTTTTTTTAATACAGAAAGACATTTGCATGTTTCAAATGCATTTGCCCCTTTCGGCTTGATCTTTGCTTCGTTTATGTTTCACTCACTCAGTTTACAGGCTGGTAGAGGAGAGTCCCAGCTGAAGTCCTCTTGACACTGAATCTGGCTGACGCCTTCCAGCGTGTAACCATCATCACATTCAAGAGTGAGCTTGGTCCCTGAGCTATAAGTATTTCCTTGTATGGCTTTCTTAACACCTGGAACTTCTGGGAATACACATCTGACCTCTGAAATTAGAAGTAATAGAAAGAGTTGTTCATACCACTTATTTCAATATAATGAGTTAGTTCCTTCAATTTAAGAGTCTAATCACTTTTGACACAAGCCCAAGAATTCTGGGGGAAATTTTTCTCAGGGGAGACCAAACGGGTCACATCAACATCTATCTTTTCACCTTTGTTTCACTTCTTTTTTTTAATATTTTTTTTTGCTATCACACGTAATAGTTACTAAGGACACTTCAAAACCAGGAGAATGTGGAACTGCAGGGTGAATTTTCCAGTGAAACTGCTTCTTTTAAAGAGCCTCTTGACTTATTTACATAAACAATTGGTAGGTTATTTCCTCCCATTGTTATCCAAGGCTTTTGAACTCTTGAGTCACTGAGGTGGCTGCAACTCCACCAAGGAAGCACTGTGACTGGGTGATAAATTTATTCCACTGACTGTCCAGTTTTCCACGCAGGAACGCCCACACTAGGAATCTTGTGACATTCATGGAATTGCCTTTATTGCTTTGCCCGATGACTGACCTTCACGGAGAGCTACTCAGAAATGCCAAGTTACAGATATCCAGGCCTTTTCCAAGAAAGGGAATAGTCAGGCTTGTGTGTAATCAACAGACCATCTGTCATAGAGAAATTCTCTGATACAATAATTCCCTTTCCTTCCTGTTTGTGATAACTGGGGAGTGAGGGACACAAAGAGGGAAGGAAAGGGAAAAGTTTCTACTCTTCGGCTAAAAACAAAAAGGTTTTACTGGAAGAAAGTCATTATACAGCTCATTCATAGCAACAAGAGCAGAGATGGAAAACATGCAAAGATTAAAATTGCTTGCCAGAGTTGATGGTTCTGCCACCACAAACTCCAAACCACGTGAGCAAACCAAGCACTCACACACCTTTGCACTGAGGAGGTGGCTGGCTCCAGGTTCCTGACACCGTGCAGTTGATGAAAGCATTCCCAAGCAGTGCATGGCCAGGATTGCAGGTGTAGGATACAGATTGTCCATAGGAAAAACTGTCAGAGATGTTGCCTTTAAGCTTCCCATTGGTGATGTTTGGAGGATGGAGACACTTCACAACTGGAAAGTCAGGGAGAGACAAACAGCAGTGTTGACATGAGGATCCCAATGGGCTGCCAGAGAGCACTAAGGCACCGCAGCTTCACAGCCCTTAGATTGTTCATTTTTAATTTCTTCACCAAGACTCACCAACTGATTTTGTGCAGATCAAACCAGAGCTCATACAGGTAGGAGGGGAAACTTTTGAGGACCTGTGGACGGCTGTGCCCTCCATTCCCACAGCCCTGGATCCACTGCCAGAGCCAGCCCTGCCCACCCTCTGCACCCACTTCACCCCAGATCGTCTGGGAAGCATTTGGCACCACACACGTTTCTGCTGGCACAAAGTAACTTGGCCCAGCATCGTCTTTGCTGGGACATTCCTAGTGGTACATTCCGTTGTAGTGATGTCTCCAGGCCAACAGAGGGACTCCAATCTGATTGTTGTTCCATTCCCAACTCTTGGGCTCACACCCAGCTACAGACAGTGAGCTTATAAAGAACCCTCTAGACTGTGAAACTTGTGCAAGACAGAGACCACGGAGTCCACACAGACCTCTTGGCCAGAGGCCTCTTTCTTTAGTGGTGGAGCTTGTTGAAGCAACAGCTTGTTTCACCAAGTCCTCACACAAATATAACTTAATGTTTAATGTGTTTATAAAGTTGAGAAGATTCAGTGGAAGGAGCCCAAACACACCTTCACAGCGAGGGAGGGGACGGCTCCAGACTCCAGGTGCTGTACAACGAACAGACTTGTTCCCAACAAGGGAGAAGCCCCGTTTGCAGTGATAGTGCACAAGGGCTCCTACACCAAAAGTGTCTGAGAAGTGCCTGCTGTGTTTCCCATTAGCAATGCGTGGAGGATGCAGACACTTCACCACTGAAAGAGGAGGAGAGGGTGGGAGGGTGATGTTAATTGTAAAAAACGTGATAGAAAGAGGGTTAAAAAGTGCAATTACCCCTCTTCCCTGCAAAAAGCAGGACTGGTTTGGAGGAGAAGGTAGTGTTTAATAAATCTTGCCTCTTCTTAAAACAAACCTACCTGGCTTCCTTGTGGTATCAGGATGATGATGATAGTGTTCTGCCACTCCATCTAGATGCAGCATTAAGTATTTAAAATACACATTTGATTGAGCAAACACAATGCACAAATTTATCTTAATTTTCCATCCTGCCTTTATATTTGCAGCAAAAATTTCACTCCTCTCTGACAGTCAGTGTCCTGCCATGAAGCTACCAAATTTCTCACTTTGGGGAAATGAAGAGAATGTGGATTATGGCTTGCAACAAGCAGGGTGAGAGAAGTGCAAACCATGCTCATACTTACAGTGTTACCCAAAGCCTGGCTCGTCTGTGTGAGGAGAGAGGTGTAAATAAAAGGATTATTTTCTGTTTTTTCCTGAAAGTAGTTAGAGCAAACACGAAAAATAAAGCCAAATGTGGCTTCAGGGAGCATGGAGGAGCAGTCAGGAGGAATCTGCTGGCAGGTCAGCGTGCTGACACTTACCCTGCTCACAGACTGGTACGGGGGGGTCCCACGTTTTATCCGCCTGGCACTGGGCTGTGTGGTGGCCTCGCAGGGTGAAACCTTCACTGCACCTGAAGGTAACAGTGTCTCTGTACGTGTAGCGATACTTGAGAACAGATACTTTCCCATTCCAGATCTGTGGGACTGGACACATCACCTCTGAAAGACAAATTCATTGTCTCAAAGAGTGAGCCATGTCTATGCTGTAATTGATGCATGTATAAATTCCATCCTTAACGTGCCACTGCTCAGGGGAGTTTCACAAGTAGCACTTGAATTATTTCAAGCATCAAGGGCTATTTTAGTTCCCTTAGGTACCGAGGGTTACCGCGTTATTGTATAAACATAGTTTTGTACCTATAAATAGAATAATGCAAATACATTCCAGCAAGTATATTAAATGGTATAGAAATCCATGAGCACTGCCAGCCATTCTCATGACTGCTTTATTATAGCAACCTGGTGCCTTCCAAACCAATTCCATCCGAAGGAAAGACTAATGGCAACTCTCCTGCAGAACAGCCTTGTGGTTTGGATAACAGTACCATCTTTGGAAGATCTCAGTTCAGTTTTACTCAATATCCCACTCTTCCACTACAAGACATGTTTCTTCCTTCATTTATTGTTTATATTTGTGAAACATGAGGGTCAAATCCCTGCGGGCACCTCACAACTCTTCATTCTACAGAGCTCTGAAAAATCAAAACTGGCATCTGGGAGATTCATAGAACTAAGCAAGTAAAACAAAACAATCCTAGAGGAACATGATGCTTTAAAAGTCTTATTCCTTAAGGTTCTGTTTATTTTAAGGACATGCCACTTTTTGATTTTAGGGACTTAATTTGGCATTTCAGGGTCAGATCTAGCTGTGACCTACTTACTCTGACAAATGGGAAGAACACCACTCCATGCAACATCTGCTCCAAAAACCTCACATCGCCTGTGCGACTGTCCAACCAGCCGGTGCCTGGAGTTACACAGAAAGAAATATCAGTTGATACCAAGTCATTCAGCTTGGGTTTTGCTTCCCACTCTGACACCACTCCCAGAGGTTTCCTTCTGCAGCCTCATTCTGCCTGTGTTTGTCTTGGTTTGACACATGGGAACAAGGGATACCAAGCTCCTTCTTCCCAGATCCAAGAGGAACAGCAATGATCCCAGATTACTTTGGATTAGATTGGTCAGGTGCTAAACTGGGACTTAAATCCAAGTGACTTCCAAACCTCTGGAGCCTCCTCACAGCACAGGCTTCTTGTCCTCTTAGCTCCTGCTGGGTAGCCATCTGAGGAGGCAGGCTGAAACTGAAGTTTGCAAAGTGGGATACTGAGCACAGGCAGCGAATAATAAGGGATGCTTTTTCCTTTCCTGCTCAGGCAAGTGTGGCACAACAGGAACCAAAGCACAAATCCTGGCCAGCTGTGGGAGCATGGCCAGTGCAGGGGAGCGGGCTTGGAGCCTTTGCTGGGACTTGCCAAACACTGAGCTCAGAAAGCAGGAGCAGCAGGAGCAGCAGGAGCAGCAGGGGACTCACCCTTCTTCACACGAGTGGTTCACAACTGACCCAAAAAGGCGATCTGTCAGAACAAAAACTCTGCCATTCTTTGGTGCTTCTGGGAATTTACACTGCTTCCCTGGGAGAAAACAAGGCTGCATTTAAACTCTTCTCTTGTGGTTTTGTAATGCACTATGAGAAAGTATCTTAAGGATCTGTCCACAATCAATCACCGATAAAGATGTGATTTTTAAAAGGCCAATAGCTGCCCTAACTATGTGACTAGTGAAGCCATGTATAATTTTTTCTTTTAAAAAATTGCTTTAAGAAACCCACAGCTGTAGTTTAGCCAGTTTTCAACAACCAACACCAAACAGATTGAACTATTCACTTTTGCAGAACTCTAGCGCTTCGGACCACGTGTGGTTTTTGAGGCATGTCAGAGTGGAGGCTGCTCCAGGGTGTCTCATGTATCCCGGCTGGCAGCTGTACCGCACGGTGTCCCCGACTGGAAACTCTGTCCGATTTTTGTATTCCTCAGCTAGCTCAGCAAAGGTCAAGCTTGGAGGGGCACCACAGCCACCTAGTGGGAAGGAAAACACGGGGAGAAATGGGGATATCAACTACACGAGGTTGTTTTAAAATGGATATTGGGTATGCATAGATAAATGTTTACAAGCAAAACTGACAAGAAAAGGGAAGGACTGAAGGAGTCAACATCATGGGAAGACTGGGGAAAAGGACATGTCCTACAGGCTTTTGATGGCAGGAATTCCCAGACTGTCCAAAATCCCCACAATGTACCTGCACACTGAGGAAAAGGGAGGCTCCAGTTTCCAGAGTCAGTGCAGTAAATCGATGCCTCTCCCAAGAGGCTGTATCCAGGGTCACAGCTATAATTTACAACCATCCCAGTAGTAAAAACTTCCAAGTCCTGGCTGTTGTGACTTCCTTTGTCAATATTTGGTGGTGAAGGACACTGCAGCTCTAAAGGGAGAGCAAACAAAATTTTAAAAGGGCATGGACAGAATAACATGCGTGGGCAGCGATGGGGGTTAGGGACAAGGCAGCACTGACAGGGCATGAGCAGACAATGGCATGTTAGTGATTTTGCCCAGCAGAGGAGCACAGCTAACACAACAAAACACTATTGCACCCAAAGTGGCATGAGTGAAGCAGAGAGCATGACCTCAGGGCCCCTCCAGCACAGAGATGGCCCTAAACATCCTCTCTGTAGACCCCCAGGTGCCCTTTTTCCGCTCAGACAAAACAATCTCTGCAATCAAACAAGCTGAGAGAGACCTTTCCTGAAAAGGAGATGGTTCCTGGCCATGAGCTGTCCAGCTCTTGGTTTCCCAAAGGCTGCCAGGGCCCTGGAGCACAGTGCCAAAGCTGTGCCAAGAGAAGCCATGGCCATGCTCACCTGGCTTGCAGGTGGGGACAGCAGGGACCCAGCGGCCATCGGGCTGGCACTCAGCCTCACCACTGCCCTGCAGCACGTAGCCTGGGTGACAACGAAAGGTGACATTGGCCCCAGGTTGGTACACAGAACTCTGTCCTTCAGCCACATCTCCATTCTGGATGTCGGGGCTTGTGCAGTTGATCACTGGAAGTGAGAAGTGGCAGAGCATGGGCTGGGGAAGCTGTGGGTTCCCCCTTTGGTTTTGTGAGGTTGAAATCAGGAAAGCTGCACGACCCAGATGGTCTGCCCTTCCTCTGTGATACTGCCCTTACAGCTCACCTTCACACCGGGGGTAAGGGGTGCTCCAGGTTCCATTTACCATACAGTACAGAGTTGTCTTTCCAGTAAGAGAATAGCCAGGGTCACAGCTGTAATTTACAGACATTCCAGGAACAAACACTTCCACATCCTCTCCGTCGTGCTGGCCACGATCAATCGCCATCGGGGAGGGACACGAGCGCCCTACCAGGAAGGAAATCCTCACTGAGACCAGGATGGACTTTTGGGGTTTGTGTTTTCTGGATCTTGGGGCCCCTCCAGCACAAGGATTGCTCTAAGCATCCTCCTTCTAACCCCCCGCGTGCCCGTGCTCACCTGGCTCACAGGTGGGGACAGGAGGTGCCCAGCGGCCATCGGGCTGGCACTTGGCCTCGTGGCTGCCCCTCAGCACGTAGCCCAGGTGGCACTGGAAGGTGACATTGGCTCCAGGATGGTACACAGTGCTCTGTCCTCCAGCCACTTCTCCGCCCTGGATGTTGGGGCTTGTGCAGGTGATCACTGGAAGTGAAAAGCAACAGAGCATGGGCTGGGGAAGTGGCTGCCAGAGCTGGGGGTTCCCCCTTTTGTTTTTGCCAGGTCAGAATGCAGGGAAGGCCGAGTGGCCCCTTTTCCCTGTGGGGAAGAGCATTTGCAGCTCACCATCACACCGGGGGTAAGGGATGCTCCAGGTTCCAGACGCCAAACAAGAAACTGTTGTTTTCCCAGTGAGGACGTACCCTGGGTCACAGTAGTACTTCACTGATATTCCAGGGACAAACACTTTCACATCCTTGCTGTCATGCTGCCCATTTTTGATATTTGGAGGGGAAGGACACTGCAGCACTTGAAGAAGGAGAAAAAAAAGTCATGGCTGGTGAAGAGCTGGTACCACAAACACCACAGTAGGAAAGGCAGCCTTTTAACTTCTTTCTGCCCCATTAACTTTTTCAAATAGCTGGGGCTATCACTGCTTGAATTATACTTCCCTCCTACTCTCATTATCTTCCAGCCTTCATGTTTGTTGAGCTTATTCACATCAAGAATGATAATTTAATCTGTGGCCCTAACAGCTTGCTCTGGCCTTTCTGTGGTTGAGAATAAGTTCAGACACCAACCTGGCTCTCTGTGTCTTTGTGGGTTCACTTAAAGAGATGAAAGCCCTACAGAGAAGGGTCTGAGTGAAGATGGGGGGACAGATATGTGCATATTTTTCCTTTCCAGTCCTGAAGAGCAGCCCCTTTACCTCCAATGTGAGGTGGTTGCACCCTGCCAGGTGCACTCACACAGCCACCACCCAGCTCCTCAGTTCCACTTACTCTTTTCACAGGTTGGGGCAGGAGGGTCCCACCTGCCCCCAAACTGGCACCAAGATTCTTGAGAGCCCTTCAAGGCGTAACCAAAATCACACTCAAAGACAACAATGTCCCCCAGTCTGTACAGGGTCTTTGTCCCAGTTGTTTTCCCATTCTTGATCTCTGGTCTTTCACAGCCGCTTGCTGGAAGGGAAGAGCACAAGGCACTGCTGGGGGTTTGAAGCCCATCCTGGGTGTGGAAGGACACTGATCAGGGCAGTCAGTACCTGCTGCTGACCCTTGCCATCACTGTCATGGGCATGTCAACACTAGTGATTCTTATTCTTACATAAAATATCATTATTTAACTGTTCCTGAGAGTCTGTCCTTACTGGGGCACAGAAAGGGAAATCCACAGAGGCAGATAGAGCTCCTCCTGCCTGGGGGACCTTTGGTCTCTGCCTCTCACTGGAGATCTGATCTGCAGTGATTAGACCAAGAGCCAAGGAGAAAGAAAAGGCCTAGGGCAAGATGAGAGAAGCCAACACAAACACACCTTCGCATCGGGGCCGGGGCCGGCTCCAGGTTCCCTCCGGGGTGCAGCGGATGGAGGCGTTTCCGACCAGGGAATACCCATCCCTGCAGCTGTACTGCACAGCCGAGCCTGGGAGGTGGGTGTCTGAGGGCTGGCCACTGTGCTTCCCGTTGGCAATGCCTGGAGGGGGGGGACACTTCACCTCTGCCAAGGAGAAGATAAGAAATCCAGATGGGGCAAGGAAAAAAACCCAAACAAACAAAAAATAAATGTAAAACATTAAAAAAATCCAGACTTGAAAACCCGAACGAGGAAGACGATTTGATTAACTCCTTTGAATAAATATCTGTCGTGTTAGCTGCCTTCCCTGCCAGGGGGTGCAGCATGGGGTGACTCCTGCTGCCACCCAGAGCTGGGGACACGGTGCAGAGCCCCACCTGCGCGTTAGCTGCCTTCCCTGCCAGGGGGTACAGGCATGGGGTGCCTCCTGCTGCCACCCAGAGCTGGGGACACGGTGCAGAGCCCCACCTGCGCGTTAGCTGCCTTCCCTGCCAGGGGGTACAGGCATGGGGTGCCTCCTGCTGCCACCCAGAGCTGGGGACACGGTGCAGAGCCCCACCTGCGTGTTAGCTGCCTTCCCTGCCAGGGGGTGCAGCATGGGGTGACTCCTGCTGCCACCCAGAGCTGGGGACACGGTGCAGAGCCCCACCTGCGTGTTAGCTGCCTTCCCTGCCAGGGGGTACAGGCATGGGGTGACTCCTGCTGCCACCCAGAGTTGGGGACACTGTGCAGAGCCCCACCTGCGTGTTTGCTGCCTTCCCTGCCAGGGGGTACAGGCATGGGGTGACTCCTGCTGCCACCCAGAGCTGGGGACACGGTGCAGAGCCCCACCTGCACAGCGCGGTGCGGCCCCGCTCCACGCGCCCCGCTGCCCGGGCCCCGCCGCGCACACCAGGGAGGCATCTCCAGCCAGAGAGCGGCCAGAGGTGCAGCTGTAGGTGACCACGTCCCCGTAGGAGAAGGTGTCCCTCGAGCCCCCGCTGTGTGTCCCGTGGAGGATGTCTGGAGGTGGGCCACAGGTGACAGCTGCGGGCACAGAGAAGGGAGGTTTTAGCATCAGCGCTGCAGCAGCACCCGGGGGTGCAGGACACTGCCAGGAAGGGAACTGGCAGGGATGAACCCATTTTAGCAGTGGTGCTTTCTGGATACAATGATCCAGATTATCCGGAGACAAACCTCATGTGCAAAAAGTCACATGTGAGAAGGAAAACCTGCACCCTCCTGTGAGTCACTTCCTTGCTGCCCACATCCGGAGGTGGTAGGACAGTTCTTATCTCCCTTTCTGTAGCCACACTGGCCACACCACTCCTACATGTGACCAGTGAGAAACACTTACCCCAGTAACAGGGAGCTTAAAATCTTAATGGCTTTGCCAATTTAGACCAGGATTAAAAAAATAAAAAAGACCTTTGGAAACATTTTCAGAAGTGTCCAAAACAAAACAGAAGAAACGTGAAAGATTTTACATGTACAGTGACTTGAGAAATCTTTTGCAATGAAATCTTTGTCTTGAAAGTTGTGCCACTTTCTCCTGCAAGCCACCCCCAGGGACCTTTTGTTGTGTCCTACTCACGCTGGCAGACAGGAGCATCCCCACTCCACAAGACACGTGTGCCAGAGACCTCGCATGTTCTCTGGGACAATCCAACCAGCTTGTACCTGGAGCCACACAGAGGGATTAATTAAATTACATTAAGAGACTTGAGGCTTCTGAACAACCTTTGTAAGCGGCAGCCAAGATTTCTGACTTGGGAACTGGGTTCCTTCACGTAAAGCTGAAAATCTGCTTTGCTCTCGCTTGGCAGCTGAATTCAGCTGGTCACAAGACTCACCCTGTGTCACAAGTGTAATTAACTTTGGACTCAAAGAGGAGGTCTGTCAGGACAACAGCTCTGCCATTCTCTGGATCCCCTGGGTTAGGACATTGCTTCCCTGAAAGGGAACATCAGCCACCATCAGCCCTCACTGCCATCCCGGCCAGGGATGCTGTCACAGAGAGTGGGCTGGGTAAAGGATCCCTTGAAGTCAGAAAGAAGTGAAAATCCAGCCAAGCCAGACACTGGGGGGGTTTCAGCACTCGCAGGACATACTTTTACAGAACTCCAGAGCCACAGACCACGTCTGATTCCTGAGGCAGGTGATGGCCGGCAGCATTCCCGGCTGCTGGGTGTACCCAGCCCGGCACACGTATCCCACCGTCCTCCCCACGGGAAAGACTCCCTGGTTGCTGTGCAGCTCCTTCAGCTCAGCAAACGCCAGTCTGGGAGGGGCACTGCAGCCAGCTGCTGGGAAAGACAAGCCAGCCCAGTTGTTAGAGGAGTCAAGAAAACGCAGACTGGGCAGGGCAGGGGAAGGTGAACATTCCCACACAGTTTGAGCACTTGCCCTGCTTGCAGACTGGCACGGGGGGCTCCCAGGTGTTGTTCAGTTGGCACTGTAGCACTCTGTGGCCTTGCAGAACAAAGCCTGGATCACACTCAAAGGCAATGGTGTCCTTGTGGGTGTAGGTAGTCTTAGGAGACACTATTCTCCCATTCAAGACCCGTGGGACAGGACATCTTGGCTCTGGAAAAGAAGTGCAGGTCTTCAAAACAGGCACTTAGGCAGTATACAGAGCTGTGGAAAGTGCCTGTGAAGCCACTGAGAGTTGCAGTCCCCTTCAAGACACAAGTCTGGGCATAATTTCCCCCTAGATGATGTACTGCCCACATCCAGCCATATCAAACACTGAGGGAGAGACCCAAGCTGAAAGGTGAGGCTGGGGATGCTGGAGTCAGTGGGGTTGTCCTCCAGCCTCCTCCCCCTGCCTGGCCTCAGCTGTACAAACAGCCCGTGCAAATCCTGCCCTAGCAGGAACCAGGCAAGAAGTGCAGTTCTCTGGAGGTTTCCCAGCCTTTCTGAATATGAGGCAGTAGCAGCAGGAGGATTCCACCTGAGTAAGAATTTCTTTACCCAAAGAGTGGTTGGACAGTGGAACAGGCTGCCCAGGGAGGTGGTGGAGTCACCATCCCTGGACGTGTTTAAAAGAAATGTAGATACAGTGCTTAGTGACATGATTTAAGCACTGAATGGGTAAATTAGGTTATGGTAGGGGGATTTAGGTTATGGTTGGACTTGATGATCTTCAAGATCCCTTCCAACAGGATGATTCTAAGATTCCATGATCCCTACCTCCGCAGTGGGGGGGGGGGCTGCTCCACACCCCGTTTTTCCCATCCCGGGTTGTGCAGTGGATGGAGGGTTCTCCCTGGAGCGGGTACCCAGGGTTGCAGGTGTATGTTACAGATGTGCCATAGTGGAATTCCTCCAGCAGGCTGCCCGTGTGCTTCCCGTTGGGAATGTCCGGAGGTGGCTCACAAGGGATGCCTGCAGAGGTGCAGAACAAGGCTTTGATATTCAAGAGCAGTGACAAGGTACTAGACACCCCTCAGTCTGTGGGGCACTTGTCCTGGTGATGGAGTAGCTGCAGGGAAGTGACCTAGGTCAGGCCTTGTAGTCAACTGGATCCCATCTGCCTGGCCAGCAATTTCTAGGACAGTTGGAAAGCAGACCAATAAGACAAACCTCTGTGGAGGAAACACCTACATGCTTTATGTTTTCTACTGTTCAAGAAATTTTTTAAAAAGTGTATTTATTTTGCATTGCCTGTGTAAAATCTGGATTTCTCAGCTGCACACACTGCAAAGGCACTCACAGGCAGCAATCCATGCATCACCTTAGGTTTACCTGGAGAATCTGTAAAAGGCTTCAAAATCCCAGACTGTACCAGTAAACATTTCTAGTCACCTAATCAGCAGCACTACTTAATCAGCAGAGAAACTCCCCTGGGGGATTGCTGAGGTGCAGCTCAGCAGCTCATGGCACACACACCAGTTAGCTGAGCCTGTACTGAAAGAGAGAGCCCGTGCTTTGGGACTTTGGGATTCCACTTCTGGCCCTGCCACAGTGCTCTGCCTCTCCTTAGGGCTGTGCCCTGGTCCCTCTGTGTCTAATATTAGCAACTCTTATGTTGAAGAGAGTATTTTCCCTTCCTCTCATAACAGGGCTATAATATTAGTCCCAGGATACCGAAGTACTGCTGAAAATGCTCCAGCTGAGACATTGTTGTCTATAATCCATTAAGCTTTGAGATCTTGTGCCTTTTCCCAGAACATTTGCTTAGGACATAAAAAACTTCCAGCAATCTCTGCTGGAAAACATGTTCCAGACCCATGCAAACCCCCTGGAGATGTGAGCTACTCACGCTGACAAGTGGGAACATCACCACTCCACGCAACACGTCCACCAGAAACCTCACATCGTCTGCTGGATTTTCCAATTAACCTGTGCCTGGTGTTAGAAGGATTGAACGTTCATTCCCAGTCATTCCAGTGGGAGTTACTGCCTCTTCCAAACCACCCTGGACTGCATGCTCAGCCCTGCAGCCAGCAGAGCTGTGGCCCTGGAGGAGAAGTTCCCTTCCTCACTCTGCCTACAATTTCATTGTATATACATGGATATATAAGCTAGGGAACACCTTGTGTGTTGTAATCCATTTATTGGGAGTGAATGGAGGAAAAAAGGGAGACTTACCTAATCCTTTCTGTGTTAAGCAGTAGCCAAAACCAGGACTTACCCCTCTTCACAGCTGTAGAGCACTGTTGACCCAAACAGGAGATCTGTTAGGAAACTAATTTTCCCATTCACAGGTTCACCAGGATGACTGCATTTTTTTCCTGAGGGAGAAGAAAACCTCATTTTAGGCTTCTCTCTATCTATGACATGGCACAACAGATGCAGCTATTACACCAGTAATCTGTTTACATTCCCAGTTACCCCCAAGTGGGTTTCAAATAGCTTAAAGTTACATGGCTTTACTAGTCACATACTCTCTGAACACCAGAATTCAGTTAAGGTTTTTGCAGCATGGACAGAACCTAGGACCTATTCCTTTGTGCACAACAGTCACCAAATCAAGGAGCTATTCACTTTTACAGAACTCTAGTGCTTCTGACCACACTCCGCTCTCAAGGCATGTAATAGTAGGTGACATTCCTGGCTGTTTAGCATATCCAGGTCGGCAAGTGTATTGCACAGTCTTCCCAACAGAAAAATCAAGCTCATTTTTATGCTGCTCGTTTAGCTCAGCAAAGGGAAGCCTTGTAGGAGCACCACAACCACCTAGTGAGAAAGAAAACAGACAGGAGAGTCAGGCAGGACAGGCATCTGGGGTGCAAGCACAGCAAGAACACTGTTACAAAGGAAGGCGTTTGGTTTGCCTTACAGAATTGTTTCTTATTATCAATATAATCACTATTAAACAAATGCAATATATTTTTCCCAAAGGATTCCAGAGGATCAGGTTCTTATTCCCAGGGTGTACTTAGATCTTCCACTCACAGGATTTAATCATGTTTTTAACAGTGTTAGGGGACATTAAATAGCAGTGTACCCCAAGGCAGCTGTGTCACAATTTACCTGGCAGTTCAGGCCTGCTTGACAACTCCTGGTGCTGGTACAGCCGATGGCAGGTGGGAACAGGAGGCTGCCAGCTGCCATCCTCCTGGCAGAAGATTTTAGCACTGCCTTGCAGGCTGTAACCATCGTGACACTGAAATGTCACTGTTTGCCCAGGTGCAGAAGTAAGTCCTTGGCCACCAACTTGCCTTCCATTCTTGATGTCTGGGTTGATGCAGACAGTCCCTGGGAGGGCCCACGTGCCAGCGCCGCGTGCGAAAGGAGGCAGAACAGAACAAGATAAAACACCCACAGGTTGTTAAAATTGCAACAGGAAAAAAAGACATGACATCTACACAGACCTCCTCAGAGCCACGTTGTGACCTTCCCCCCAGGGCCCAGGCCCCAGACACACCTTCACAGCGAGGGCCAGGCCGGCTCCAGTTCCCTGATGCTCTGCAAAACACGGCAGCTTTTCCAACCAGGTAGTAGCCAGGGTCACAGGTGTAGGTGACAGACATTCCCGTGGTAAAAAATGCTCTGCCCTGCCCGTTGTAACTTCCATGCTGGACCCCCGGAGGCATGGGGCATGGCCGGGCTGTAAGAGGGCAACAGAAAGTCTAACTCAGTGAGGGAACCGTGTGCAGGGGAAGTCAGTGTGATGCTGTACTGTGGGTAAAAGCCCATCACGGGAACAGCTCTGCCTGCACACTCTGCTCCTGCTGCAAGGAGCACCCTGGCAGGGCTGCCCTGCTGCAGGCAGCAGGCACCCACACTCACCCTTCACACAGATGAGCTCTGGAGGATCCCAGGTACAGTCTTCCCAACAGAAAAATCAAGCTCATTTTTATGCTGCTCGTTTAGCTCAGCAAAGGGAAGCCTTGTAGGAGCACCACAACCACCTAGTGAGAAAGAAAACAGACAGGAGAGTCAGGCAGGACAGGCATCTGGGGTGCAAGCACAGCAAGAACACTGTTACAAAGGAAGGCGTTTGGTTTGCCTTACAGAATTGTTTCTTATTATCAATATAATCACTATTAAACAAATGCAATATATTTTTCCCAAAGGATTCCAGAGGATCAGGTTCTTATTCCCAGGGTGTACTTAGATCTTCCACTCACAGGATTTAATCATGTTTTTAACAGTGTTAGGGGACATTAAATAGCAGTGTACCCCAAGGCAGCTGTGTCACAATTTACCTGGCAGTTCAGGCCTGCTTGACAACTCCTGGTGCTGGTACAGCCGATGGCAGGTGGGAACAGGAGGCTGCCAGCTGCCATCCTCCTGGCAGAAGATTTTAGCACTGCCTTGCAGGCTGTAACCATCGTGACACTGAAATGTCACTGTTTGCCCAGGTGCAGAAGTAAGTCCTTGGCCACCAACTTGCCTTCCATTCTTGATGTCTGGGTTGATGCAGACAGTCCCTGGGAGGGCCCACGTGCCAGCGCCGCGTGCGAAAGGAGGCAGAACAGAACAAGATAAAACACCCACAGGTTGTTAAAATTGCAACAGGAAAAAAAGACATGACATCTACACAGACCTCCTCAGAGCCACGCTGTGACCTTCCCCCCAGGGCCCAGGCCCCAGACACACCTTCACAGCGAGGGCCAGGCCGGCTCCAGTTCCCTGATGCTCTGCAAAACACGGCAGCTTTTCCAACCAGGTAGTAGCCAGGGTCACAGGTGTAGGTGACAGACATTCCCGTGGTAAAAAATGCTCTGCCCTGCCCGTTGTGATTTCCATTGGTGATCTCTGGAGGCATGGGACAGGGCTGGACTGCAACAAGTGAGAAAAAGTCAGTGAGAGAACAGGGAGAGAACTGTGCATGGGGGAAGGAGTCACTGAGGGGTAAAAGCCCATCACAGGAACAGCTCTGCCTGCACACTCTGCTCCCGCTGCAAGGAGCACCCTGGCAGGGCTGCCCTGCTGCAGGCAGCAGGCACCCACACTCACCCTTCACACAGATGAGCTCTGGAGGATCCCAGGTCCCCCCGGGCTGGCACCGAGTCTCATACGTGTCCTCTGCAGCGTAACCTTCATCACAGGCAAAGTGAAGAGTCTCTCCAGCTCTGTAGGTGCTTTGCAGCCCATGGACTTTCCCATTCTGCACCTCAGGCATCTCACAGCCAATTGCTGCAGGGAACATGGACAACATCCCATAATCTTGAGTGCTTGGGCCAGACCCTGCACACACAGCCCCCTCCCTTCCCATCACTGCCTTAAGCCTGTGTGCTCAGTTCCTCCAGGACATGCAGCAGCCTTTCTGCCAGCCCACGCCCAGCAGAGCAGCACCCACCCACCCACCTTCACAGCGGGGCCGGGGCCGGCTCCACACCCCGCTCTCTGTGCAGTTGACAGATGTGTTCCCAACCAGCTGGTAGCCCTCCTTGCAGCTGTAGTACACGGTCAGTCCTGGGGAAAACTTCTCCAAGTTCTGCGCGCTGTGCAGCCCGTTGGCAATGTTTGGTGGCTGAGGACATGTCACCTCTGGAGAAGAAAAAGGAAATGGCCCTGTGGGTCAGCTGTTTGCCATTTTGTGTGCTACTAGGGCTGTTGGATTAATATCAGGATAATATCCTGAGTTCTGCTCAGTCTTGGTTCCATTTGCTGAACCAAAGCACCCGCCAACAAAAGGTACAGCAGCACCGAGGTCACAATCACTCTGCAGACAGAGGGAATTACTAATTACAAGGACAGTCTCAGCAGGACGACTCACAGTCACATCATGGGGCTGGTACATGGACACAGAAGCAGCAAGAAGTTGTGATTATTTCCTTTTCCAGGAGGAAGATGAAGACATCCTCCATCTGACCAGAATCAGAACCACAGAAATCCCACCTGGGGCAGCAGAAGCTGCATCCCCACAGCTCCTGAGCATGCTGGGGAGGTCGCAGCCTCCTCCTGCACAACAGCTCAGCCCTGGGCTGAACTTCTCCCCATCCCTCTCAGAATCCAAGGCAGGACAGGCTCCAGCCAGCCCCGTGTCCTTCCCAGCTCCTTTCCCCCGAGCTGTTCCCGTCTCTCAGAGACCTGACCTGGCAGCGCTTGGGTTTTGAACTGCCAGAAATCCCAGCTTTGCTTCCGCACGGAATGTGAGGGGGCACCGGAGGGAGCGGGAACACTCACCCTTCCCGCACACCGGCAGGGGGGGGCTCCATCGGAAGCCGGCGCGGCAGGTGCTGGTGCGGGAGCCCCGCAGGGTGTACCCGGCTCTGCACGCGAAGCTCACGGTGTCCCCGGGCTTGTACAAGTAGCGGGCGGAGGACACGCGTTTCCCATGCCGGACGTAGGGGAACGGGCATCGGGAGGCTGGAAAAGGGAGAGAGGTAAAAAACCTTGTTTACCCCCCACCAGCTCCCCCGCCGGTCCTGCCCGGGGTGGGTGCCCTGTTGCTGGTGCCCACACAGCCAGGCGTTCAGCACCAAAACCGCAGGGAAGGAGGCTGCTGTGTGTGCCGGGCAGGTATTTGCACTAGATGCAGGGATGTAGAAAGAAGGTAAAAGGAAATGCCTCTCGCTGGTCGTACCCCAGTGACTTCCTACACATCACAGCAAGTTGCAACTCGACAGAGCTCAGACACAACGTGTTACTGAACAGGCTCCTCCTGTCACTGCCATAAGATGAACACACAGGTCGAGCCCCTTGTTATAAGCTGGGCAGGCTGTGAAACACTCTCCATAGCCTCCCGTTGGGAGGTTACAACCCTATTCCCCATCCCAGCTGAAGGGCACAGGCAGCCCTGGTCCCAGAGGGCTGGTTTTGCAAGCAGAGCAGCTCTGCAGTGCTCAGGGTCTGGCATGCCAAGGTCCAGCTGGGACCAGCACAGGGCTCCTCTCTGCCTCCACAAGGAAAAGCAAAAGAATCAGCAAGGAGAGGAGCAGCAATGAGGAAGAGGAGGCCCATGAGAGGAAGGCTGAGAGGTGCAGAGCTGCCAGCCTCCCTTCCCTTGAGCCCCAGGCACGACGGCCAGGAGCAAAGCAGAGCTGCCCAGGAGGTGCAGGGTGAAGGTGAGCACCATGCTCTGCTCCCCGCACAGACTGCAGCTCCCAGGGGCTGCAGGAAGATATGGGCCCCCCAGTTCCCCCTGCCCACCCCTGCATGCAGCAGGAGCCACAAGTGTGGGATTTCCCAGCGCCACAGGACAGGAACCTCTGAGCTTCCCAGCACAGAACAGGCACTGCCACCACCCCCGGGAGGCTGCAGGTCCCACCTGCTGCTTCTCCTGCTAGTTTTGGCAGGGGAGGATGGGCCCCTGGGACCCACAGGCATCTGTGAAGGAAGGGTGGGTGCAGACACTGAAGTGCTGCTAGCCAAACTGTGCCCAGGGTGCAGAGCATCCTTCAGTGAGGGTAAGTGTCCCGGGCTGTGCCCCAAGTCCCCAGGCAGTGACAGCAGCTCTTCTCACAAACCAGCTGGAGAGGCACAGCTCACCTGCCCAGGTACAGGAAGAGCAGAGCATTCCCTCCTCCCAACCCTGGCTGCTCCAGGTCCAACCTGATGTCACCCCCATCACTGGCTGGAAGAATAAAAATCCACCAAGAGAACTTTGTGATGTAGGAGCCAGCACAGCAACCCCAGCTCCCCACCTCCCATGGCAGAGGATGTTCTCTGAGCCTAAAACAAGCAGCAAGACACACATTCCTCAAGTCTTTTTATCCCTTTTATTGACAGAGAGCTTCCAATATTTACATACCCAACATTTTTACTTCAGAATTATACTCGATTTTGTTTACACTCAGATTATAAAGCAAAACTATGCACCAGCCAGTTACATACACAGCAGATAAACCCTCTTCAGTAGTACATGTTGGTGCTCACACCCACAGCTGTCTGAGCATTCTCAGCTGCTTCCATTTGGTTGCAAGGAGATCATTTCCAGCTGATCCCCAAATCAGGGGTTAAATCATTTGGAAAAACCACCCTGAGCTATGCAGCAAGAACAACTGTGTGGGGATTAAAATAACAAAATAGAACACAACACTAAGCTATGAGGCTTTATATCTGTGGGTTTTTTTCACATGGCTTATGGTAAGAGACACATAAAAATAAGTGCTTGTTCTGCAAGACTGGCTTCTGAAAACAGCACCTTGTGGTGCCCCAGTGACAACTCAGCAGGATAGGGCCCTGCAGGAAAGGGAGAACTTTGTGGCTTTATTTGGGACCTGACTAACTTGTTGATGCAAATAGCTCTTTGTGGTTTTCCCTCTAATTAGATGCATGTTCCTGTTAACAGGAAAGCACTGGCAAAAACACAGAAGCAAAAAGTACATAATAGACACATTTTAAATACTCCCCATTCCCAGCTGTGCACCATGAGAAGTTCACAGAGGGGTCATTTACCTCAGATTCAGACAAAACCCTGAACCTCAAAGTCTTGCTTTACCAACAGCTACGGGTCCCAGTGTCTCAAGCTGGATTCAGGCAGTACCTGAATACAAGTTTAAATCCTGTCCCAGTTTTGTTCCCCTTTTTACGTAGGACTCCCAGGAAGCCTTCAAGTCTTTACTTTGTTTGACAAGACAGCACGTAGCTCTTTAGCTTATTCCTTAATCATTTAGTGGGGCTGAGTTAAAACGAGGAAACAAGACCAACACCTCCAGCCAAACAAATCAAGGGGACTTTGGCCAGTGTCTTTGGTTTAGATAAGGCAGGTGAGGTCCCATCACCTGCCTGTCCTCATGGCACCACCAAAGCCTGGGCAGGGCTGGGGACAGCAAATACCTCACCCACCTCTGCCCACCCTCACAAACTATCATCACCATCAGGGCAGCTTAGACAGGATGAAAACAAAGAGCACCAAAACCACAGGCTTTGCATCCTGTCCCCCACAGAGGAGTAAATTAAAGCTTTGGCTTGATGTGAATCAGCTTTGGGTGCAGCCACCTGCCAGCCCTGCTGCAAGTGGAGCAAGAGGCCCAAAACCTGCTTTTCCTCCCCAGCATCACCCCAGCAGCCCTAGGGCTGAGCTGGCCCCTCAGCAGACCCACAGTGGGAGCCAGTGTGGTTGGGGTGCACAGCACCCCAAAAAGCCTTTTAAGTGCAAATTCAGAGTCATTCCCTGCATCAGAGTGGCCCCAGGCAGGCAGCACTGGAGCAGAAAGTGCCAGGGCAGAGACCTTCAGCTGAAGGCTAAAACTCATTTCAGTACATACAGGAAGAGTCAGCACACAAATTCTTTCAATTAAGGCATCTACATTTTTTTCTCTCTCGTGGAATTACTGATCTTTAAGGGTTGTTCTTTGCACAACAGCTCAGACTTGCCTTGAAGTATTGGCTACAACTGCACTTTTATCTGACCATTCCAATGTGTTCAGTACCCACAGATAAATACCTGACTTACACATCCTATTTGTATCAAACCATTTTTTCCAAGCATGTATCACTCACAGGAAGACACCATTAATACACTCAGCAGTGACAGCACATTTCTCCTCAGGACACCTAAGAAACCCATGAATCCTGATCAGGCACGAGATGACCTTAGTGAGGCTGAAAACCAAACGTGTGGAGGTACCCACAGTGCAGGAGTTTCTTGAGTCTGTTGTAGCATGATGGTCTTTAGCATTACTGGGATGTAAGGTGGGGATAAATGCTCTTGGTTTCTGAGCAGCATTCTCACCTGGGTGGCAGAGAGCCTCCCATCCAGCCCAACCCAGCTCATCCCCATGCAGGGGCTGCTGTGTCCAACACAAGGTGCAGCAGCCACAGCCCCAGGGCTCAGGGCTGCACAGGGAGTGTCCAAGTTTCTCATCCAAGGTTGATTCATTATGGATTCAAGGCCAGTTTCACAAGAGGGAAAAGCAGAGCGCTGGGATCAGTATGAGAAGTCCAACACGTCCACAGGTGCCTCCTCACTGTGCCTGTTCCCTAATCTAGATGTTCATAACCAGCATTGCCAGAAGAAGGGGGAAGATTCCTACAGGAAACAAATCAAAAGCTTCAGTCTTCACTCCAAACATACTCAACTATCCTTCTGCTCCCTGGTCCCTGTTACCTTCAGCCCACTTTTCACAGCATAATGATGATTGATGATACATCTGGTATCAGTGTCTGACAACAGACTGCAGTGAATGGCCTCTAAGCTTATTTCAGGCAGAACACACAGGAGACAGTAACATGAAGTAGGTAGGAGTGTGGTACAGGGGTGCAGGAATAGGTTTTACTTACCAATAATGATCATGTTTGCTCCACCTGGAAAGGAAGTGAGCCAAGAGGTGAAACTCAGCACAGTGATTCATCACCCTGCTCCACATGGAGTATCTCAGATCAGAGCCAATGCCCATGGAAGACAATTCAAGCAACACACAGAACAGGACCCCCACACAGCCCAACTCCACAGACATTTATCTGTTAAAACACAGATGTATTTACCAGGATACATTCCCATGAGCCCATAAGATGATGCCACCACCTAGTCATGCTCTCTTGGCACTAGATTTTAACTGAGGCTGCTTCAGGAAGCATCAAAGGTTTTACTGCTTAGCAGAATTATCTGATTTGAGGATTCACAGAGGAAGGAAAAAATAGGTATTCTGAAGGCAGAGAAGAAACATCAAGACAGAGCCAGGAGATAGTCACCTTTGCACTCAGGAGCAGGCTTGTTCCAACCTCCCCAGTGTTGATCTCTAGCAACACACTGAAGAAAGGCATCTCCATCAAGGGTGAACCCAGCCTTGCATTTATAAGCTACCACGGAGCCGTGGACGAAGTGTTTTCCCTTCGTGCCGTTGTGCATCCCATTGTGAACCGCAGGGGGCTCTCCACAGAGCTGTCCTAGGGAGCATCAGCAGGAGGGAATCAGTACCTCTCCTAACCAAAAGGTGAAGAAGTCTAAGGGGAAAAGGAGGCCCAGCCAAACACCACACACCCAGCAGCAACTGAAAACACTCTGAGCTTTCGTGCTTGCCACTGGGTCTCAGTTACTGCCCAGTAGCCACAACTCCAGGATCTCAGTCCATCAAATAAGCCACAGAAGTGCCTAATCAGGCCAGAAAAAACATTTCAGCCATTTCTAGCTTCACATAACACTATACACTGACTTCCTAACAGCTCACGTCTTCATTATATCAAAGAGTAGAGCAGACAGAGTTCTAACTTCCATTTATTTTCCTCTTTCCCT